GTAACGGCGAATAATGACGGGCGTAATTTCTGGATCTTCCCTAAGAAGAGTCCATAAGGTACGTTCGCGCGGCACCATGCGTGCGCCCGCCACGCAGACGCATTCCTCTTAGGAGGAGGGTGCACGAGTGATGAGGCTCTGCACCCAGACAGATTCCTCCACGTTCTCCAGGTCGGCCGCGCCGCGCGCAGCCAGCGCCCGGTGGTTGAGGCCTTGGGCCCCGCCAGCCCCGAGGAGGTCGTGCTGCTGCTGGTGCTCTGCACACCGACAGATTCCTCCACGTTCTGCAGCTCGGCCGCGACGCGCGCAGCCAGCTCCTAGTCCGGTCGAGGCCCTGGCAACAGCAGGTTCTAAGGCATCTCTACGTCGAATTGAAACTTCATACTTCATATGCTTGATCACCAAACCCTCTCAGCATTTCTTGAGCATAGCACATCATGCATCATTGCAAGCGATTCAGAAGCATCACGCCTAAATGTAAAGTGTTTAGCTCATGGACCATGTAACTCAAATCAGACAGTGATAGTATTTTTTCCATGAGTCAAACCTCACCTCAAGAAATGTTTTCTCTCACTTTACACCCCCTCATTCCTTCCCCCAGTAACTCTTTACTTGTATAAAGCAGAGTGTTGGTTTTCAAGGCAGGGAATGAATAATGGTTGGTTTTGGTGACATGACTCCGTAACAGGAGATGTCGGATTTTGTTCTGCCAAAGAAACGTCAAGAAAAAAAAAATCACGGGAACTCCAAAAAAGTTGACTTCCCAATTTGTGCCGTGCATGTAGGACTCTTGACAAAGTTTTAAAGGTTCCCTTTCAGATTTCATGGAATTAAAAGACTCAAAACTACATGGCATAGCATTTTTTTTTTAATTTTAACCTCATATGTAAGTTTTTTCTTTAATGATAAATCTCCAAAACTAATGAAGTTAGTATACTACTTTCTAGAAATTGGTACCAAATTACTTGATTCATTTTCATGGAACGGATACGCAAAACACTTACATCATTTCTGTTTTTTCCTGCCCACATAACTTTCTCTATACATGAAGGTAGTCACTAGAATGACAAGTAAAGCATCAGGCATCTTGTTCAGTTACATTTATTTATTTATTCGGTGCTTCCAATAAATGACATATATTCCACATTTTTATAGTTTTTTGCATAAAAACCAGTAGAGGATAGAAACTTAAATTGTCAGCTCATAGCATAATACAGAAAATGGAATTCCCCACATTCCGAAAGATTGACAAATAGTTGTTAAATAACATGAACACATTGAGGAGATACAATACAACCCAGTCTGATTTTCTGTAGAAAAAGGGATCTAGAACATAAATTTGACATACATGATAAACCCAGGGCTATACAATTCTTTTAATACATCACATTCCTTGAATATTACATATAATACAACACAACTCATAAAGGGATTGAAACTTACACACTATGTCGGCTCATAGCATAGTACATACATAAAGGGATTCCCCACATCCTGAAGGGTTGGCAAATAATTGTAGAATCAGGCAGCAAATACATTTTGAAGAGGAACACATTCAGGAGAAACAGCCTAGGATATAGATTCATGTAAGCTGATTCTTGTTTCTGCATACAATAGGTAGGTCCTCAGTTATAAACTTTATTGAAAACATTTTGCATTCTGCGCGATGCTCGATGGAGGAAGTCAAGCCTACTGATGTCATTCATATCCAGGTCTGAAGTCAGCCGCTTTATGTATTTATCATTTCTTAGAGCTGAGATTTTGCGTCCTCTTCCAGGAGCAGCAAGAGGATTAGCAAGGATGTGCACGTCGACTGTGTACTTGTCATCCAAAGTCACGAAAGCTTCTGAATTTGAAAGTACAAGATAATTATTTCAACAAAGTTGAACAAATCCAAATTAAAACAGATGGTATAACAAAGCTTACTCAAGACAGTGAAACAGCTGGGGTTGGAGACCTTGACTTCCTTGTTGAAAGACCTATTAGTCGATTCAGAAACATTGTTGGTCCTATGAAATGAATCCTTGACACTAAGGACAGGAATCTTTGGGACCCACTCCTTATCGAGGTACTTGAAGAACAGTCTCAACTGTGGCATCCATCCCTTCTCAACAGCCTCATATGCAAGGTCATACAAGCCTGGAAGGATTTCTTGAGTAGGCAGTAATGGCAGAGCTCCTGCTGACCTAATGATAGAAGCCACTTCCTCTTCAGTTTTGATGAGGTGGTACAAACCTAACTTATTCTTAGGATATGAGTAAACTGCCTGAAATAAAAGGAAAGCCACCCTTTTAAAATTTTTAACTAAGCAGAAATATGGCTAGAAAACTTTGGAAACAGATTATACTGTTCCTGACATCATGCAAATTTAATTTTAAACTTGCCACATCATAGTGCCACAAGCAACCTTCTACAGTGGCATTCGGGAATTTCGTTTTCCAGGCATTTAGTTGACCATCCTCAAAATCGCATTTGATAGTAGTCGGATTGAAATTAGGCATTAATGTTTTTAAAAAGTCAAACAAAACTTCATAAGCTAGTTGGGTCCTTCGAATCATAATTGCTCGTGCCATAACAATTGCCTGCAAGTTAAGTTATAAATATGTTGAGAACATGAATGTAAAAAAAATACAGCAGAGCTAAAGCACATATTATTTTTGGAACAGCCTACTTACATGATATCTCCAAGCACACGAAATGACAAATATCTGGGATGCAATTGGCTTTCGGAACAGCTTCCTTTCTGTCCCATCAGAAAATATCTAGTCAAAATAGGACAAGGGATGAAAATGTGTTTGAGAAACAAGAAGGTTGTGAACAAACAAATTTTGACCAATGAAAAATTACCATTTTCCTTGTTTGCATGAGAGTCTTCATTTCATCAGATATGAAGACCAGTGAAAGGGTACCAGCAGCCATTGACCCAC